AGCATACAGCTAGCCTCGTAGCTATACATGCAGTATATGTACTGTCACAATGTACGGTAAATCACCCGGAGTATACTGTATGAGTATTCCGTGTGTGTGACTGCAGACATTCTCCTGCCATGACAAACATGTAAGGCCATCTGCTGACATTGTAGTTGATATATTTAAACGCTAGCAACGTAGCATCACAAAAATGTTTTTCCGACCAAAGCTAGCTCTAGCTCTAGCTCCGTGTGTTAGATCGGTTGCATACACGCTACGCCAGCTATAATGTAATTACGTTTCGCGACTGACCGCACGGCAAATCACCCGGAGTATACTGTCAATAGGTATTTTGTATGTGAATGCAGACATTCTCCTGCTATGAGATACATGTATGCAGGCCATCTGCTGATATTAGAGTTGATATATGGAAACTCTAGCAACTTAGTTAGCACAGTTAGCACTGTGTCAATGGCTTAGCAGTCCAACACAGTTTACACATTTAAACAGTCTTGTTTGATAAATACACAAATAACAATGCAAACTTACAGGTTGTATACCCGGATCTTCCCCTGCTCCAAATGGTCCAAACAAGCTGTGCATATCCGGCCTCAAACTGGGCAATGTTTTGGAAGCTTTCGTCTGTGAAATGCCGGTTCTTCGAACCTCTGGAGGAACACGCCGCTGCTGGTGTGGCCATAGCTCTTCGGGATTGGTCCATTTCGTTCCGGGTACCGCATGACATCAGGCGGTACCCGGAAGAATCAAATGGGCAGTGACGTATCTCCAACGAGGCGTTTTGGGGAGGTATTTTCTGTGTTAGAGTTTTACTCGCTACAGGGTGTACTTTCAGGGTTTTGACTCTGCACACCGTTTACATGCATAAAAACCTTCATAACACACAAGGGGACGGGTAATAACCGGAAAAGCATGACATGGGAGCTTTAAGTTTGTTTTGGCGGATAGACCGCCGGTACCTATGGACGGTACGAGTGTGTTTATGGTCGTTAAACATGTTTTGTTCGTTCTGTGGAAACCACCTGGGCCAAGTGACATGGTTTTGCTCATCACGATATACTTTCTCGTGCGCAACAGATACGTTCAAAAGAGAAAGGACAAGAGAGAACAAGGAGATAGATGTAACAGCTAAACTGACAAAATTAGACAATTTTTTTCGTCCTCGAAATCGAGCGCTAACGTTAGCAATGTTGACGTGCAGCGGCAGCCGGAACCGGAGGCTAACGATAGCTCACCACCATCATTGCCATCTAGCTCCACAAGTGAAGCTGTGCAACCTTCTTCTCCAGCCAGCCAGGAGGAGAGGCTGGATTTGGCTGTGCCCGGCAGTGGTCCAACAGTTCCCCCAAGGGCCCCAACCAATAGGGGACTCTATGGCGCTATTGAGACCCCCGACGCCAAGATCAAAAGCTATATTATAGCAACCGGTCTATGTAGGCCTACCGGCCCATTCCCCAGAGACAAACATCAAGGAAACGGGTTTAATCTCTTCTTAGTTCGCTGTGCCGTTGTCAGGCTGTGGTGGTCTGAGGCCAGGGCAGGCTGTTGTTGATAGCCTATACATGTGGCGCTTCTGAGTGGTTGTGTATGTCCGTGCGTGTGTGAGCGCATCAGCGTGCGCTTATGTTTGGGGCGAAGGGGGGGGCCCAAAACAATATTTGCACCGGGGCCAATCACAACCTTGTTACGCCACTGGCCGTAATAATCGGGCAGTTCGATGTGTGTAGAGGTGTGTGTGTGTGTATAGAGGTGTGTGTGTGTGTAGAGGTGTGTGTGGCTATAACGAAGCAGCCTGCAGTCGCTCTTTAGCTGTCTAATGAAGGTAAACACAGCGAAGGCTGTGTGTAAAAGGCACAGCTCCACTTCCTACTTGGCGAACCTGTAACTTTCTCGTGTGCACGAGAACGTATCTCTTGCGCAAGAGAAAGTATATCGTGATGAGCAAAACCATGTCACTTGGCCCAGGTGGTTTCCACAGAACGGACAAAACATGTTTAACGACCATAAAGGTCCATAGGTACCGGCGGTCTATCCGCCAAAACAAACTTAAGTTTGTGTCAATCACTTGCACGTCACTTCTGGTATGATGGGCATTCCCTTTCCGGTTTGATTCTCTAGTTTGTTAAAGTGTTTCGGGAAATGTTAAAGTGTTTCGACACTTGTAAATTTGTCTCTAGCTTTGTAAAAGTGTTTTGCATCTTGTTAATTAGTTTTTGTTAATGTTAAATTGTTTTTTCTTTGGTAAAAGTGTTTTGCTAATGTAGTTTTGTTTTATAAAATGTGAATTTGTTTTATAAAATGTAAATTTGTTTTATAAAATGTAAATTTCTGGCACCTGGATATTCACTGGTATGGGGGAGAGTGTTACCAGAAGAGATTGTAGGGAAATTCATTGTTGCCTCATTCACTGACCGAGAAAATAGATGTGATTAAAATACATATTTGGTATTAATATAAGAATTTATATTCAAACACTCAAACAATCAGTGATAAAAAAAGTGCATCTTTTATTTATTTCAGTTTTTTCAGGGTTATATTTGCTTTGAAAAATGCAATGTTTTGCCTGATTTTGAAAAACATATTTTCATCCAAGTCATCAAGAGTGAATAGTTTCTCATTAAAAACATACTAAAATATGAGACGGTAAAGTGTGGAAATATTTAAAATACAAACAACCTTTAACAACAGTACACATTAAGTGTGATGCATGTAAAATGTGTAATGTACTGTATCACAGCTGTTGCTAAGACGCAGCGCCAAACAACAGCGCCATAAATGTTCATTACATCATAGACAGGGACACACACATATTTACTGTGAGGAGGGAGAAGGTCCTACAGTAGTGATAAGGACATCAAATAAAAAGGCTTTGGGGCATGGTTGCACTTTTCCATTTGATAGGCTTAAGCTTTTTCTCTGAGGAATGTTTCTGTTGAGTTAACAGGTGTGTAGTGTCGGCCTACTTGTATTCAGTGGACTTGATGTATTTAGGGTGGGAATGAATGTGTTTGTGAAAGTGTTATAACAAATGTTGTAGAAACCCCCTAATTATATACACCTTCCCAAACCTCTCAGTTGTCACATTGTTTTCAATGTGAAATGAACTCCCAAAGGTTGAAGAAGACCAGACCCCTTCCCCCAGCCCGCAATGCCCCTCCACAGTGGGCTCTACATGGCTGAATGTGTGCCCCCCCTGCCCTGCAGCTGGAGGTGTCTGTTTCACAGGCCTCTGTAATGCGGGACCTGAGAGGATAAGGTTTCACAGGTACAAAGGTTTCCGCTTTAATCCTATCACACAGAGTGAGTGGTCAGGGCTCAGGGCTCACGCATAATCCCGGGTTCATCCATTCTGGTGAGCCCAGAGACAGAGAGTGGGCAGAGAGGAAGAGATTACTGTCCATTTCTGATTTTATTCTACCAATGTTTGCACAGCAAACGGCGAGAGGTATCTCTCAAAAGAAATTCAGCTTTTCACACTTCAGTGCACGCAGGAGGAGATCGGTAATAGATAGTTAACTGTTTCCCCCAGAAACTGTTTAACAGGTTGATGTTGAGAATCTGAGGATCTTTGACAACATGAAAATAATTGTATTCATGCCCATGAGAGGCCTTTTATGTCTTATTTTGGCTAAAGAGGGATGAGAACTTCATACACTTCCCAAATACCTTTAAATAATTATATTAGAAGTCAAGTAAAGTTCAATTTTAGTATCTTGTTCCACGATATCTCTTCTGTAGTGACTCGCTGCAGTCTGATCAGGTCAATTTCAAATTTCAAAGGGTGTTAAATAAAAAAGGAGGGTCTCTAATTGTTGACAGTTTGATGCTGTGTTGGTGAAGAGCTTATCAATTTCACAGCAGGCTATTTTGCACTGAAACAGGCTTTGACGTGGCCTCCTCCGGAGAATACAACCTGCCCCAGCCTCACACTGAGCCCCGTCACAGCTGAAGGGACGCATCAGGCTGCATCATGAATATCTTGACAGAAGGACTTTGGTGAGAAGATAAATGTTAATATTTGAATATTAATTTCTGTAGTTCAATGGCCTTAGTAGAATAAAAGTGTTTTTTCTGTTCTGAAACTTTTGCACCTCAGAAGGCATGCTGGAGTTTGAAATGCTTTTGATTCATTGAAGAAAGCACGCATCCTCAGAAATGTAATACATATTCTCACTGACGACCACAAAGCAGATTGCTGCATCCTTCCACAGGTCCCTTGAAGTGTGAGACTTGAAGGAAGAGTGGTTCTTTTGAAGGCAGGTAGAAGGCGTTGCGGGGCTGAGAGGTGCTGGGAAGGGCATGTCCAAACAGACTTTAGGCCCTGAGTGATGGGACACGGGAAACGGTAAGAGGACACCTCGCTCTGCTCTCATGTCAACACAGTCATGTGAAATACAGCTGTGAGAGCGTCTGAAGATCCAGGACACAATAGACTCTCAGCAAGAACTATCTCAGTTTCTACACATTCAGCAAGCTTTGTTTTGATCAATATAGCCTACATGTCAGCAGTATTTGTGTTTCTTTTTAAAAAAAAAAACGTTTGAAATGAATTAAACAGATCTGTAATTTTGTTTATCTCTCTTCAAGGCTTTTGCAAGTAAATCCCACATGAAAGTGGATACAGTTAAGATGCAATGCATGACTTCAGTTTAAAGAGCTAAGCACTGCCGCTACCATGAGCCATGCATCGACAAAGGTAAGTAAAGTAATCCATGGGGAACCTCTGCAGTTGCTATGGGATACAGGAAAGAGTGCGATAAAGTGTGTAAAAAAACTAGTTAGCAGAGAGGTCCAAACTACAGAAGCCATGACTTGAAACTAAGAAGAAATACATATCTTTTCCCATTTTTTAACTACGGTAATTATAATTCTGTGTTTTGACTTAACCAATGAATAAATGGTTAATCTTTAAACAGTCAAACATAGTTAAAATAAATGAATAAACTTTGAATGAAATTTGTTGGATAAGGTAATGGATAACCAGTGGAGTGGTAATATTTGAATTGGAGGTAATTCAACCATTTATTACGATCAGCTTTATTGTTATGACCAGATTGCTCACTAGTTGAATAGTTAGATACAAGTATTAGATTAATAGTTGAAACATCCAGCTTCTGTCTTTCCAGATGGTGGAAATGGTAAATCTACAACACATCAAATTTCAAATAAACTTGAGACATTTGAAACAGGATAGCTAGTCTTTTGAAATATACTTACAGTAAGATACTGACTGGTTGGGTCACATCTGAAAAGATTTTTGGGAACAACTGGTCTCTCCCATGTCTGGATTTTTTCAGAATCAAAGTGTGAGTCTTGTCTCAGTGCTCTCAAGATTTTAAGATATAGGCCTGTGAAAACGATCTTTACATTTTTTCTTAAGTCAGACTATTTTACAAAATGTACCCATAGTTAAACAGGCAAATACAAGAAAATATGCAAACTGTTATTCTATAGCCCCCCTGTTTCATGGAAAGGTATTGTCTTAAAATTGTGGTACGAGATATATTTCTGCATTGACATCATCTCAGAGATAGAGGGCAGCAGAGATCAGTGAAGCCCATATGCCTATTTCCAATATTTCTCCTAAACCTCTCTCACCATTATTTAAATGTAACTTTTACATTGAACCCCCAAATATGATTTAATTCTAATCTCAATAGTTGTTGGGGTTTGTCCATTTTCCTTCAAATCTAAAACATTACATTTCAAACCACAGGTTACAAGTTGGATGTAATACTTTTCAAATACGTACTTTTAAATCATTGGTAGTAAGACTTAATCTCATTAGTTTTTTTACATAACACACAGAACATGTCATTGGGTATTGTAGATTTTCTGTTTTGCAGTGAGTTACTCCAGAAAGTCTTCATAAATGTCACTGAAATGTGTCTCCATGGCAGGCCACTAATACATCATGATCTCCTTGGGGGCGTCCTCTGTAGGCCTCTGCTGTTCTCTCCGGTGTGTGTAGGCTGCCTGGTCGTACATGTAGATCACAGCGATGGCTACCAGTGAGAGCACTGTGTAAGGGATGACCAGGTAGTATCCGAGCATCATCTCTGTCGACTCGTTCCTCAGGTCTGCTGGAGTATTTCCCGTTGAGATCTTTACCAACTTCTCTGCCATTCTGGTCACTGTCAGGTTCAACGCAAATAGGATGAGGACCAGTACAGACAAACATGCTGCAAGAGAAAGAGAGAAACATGATATACCTGATAGGAATTCCATAAAATTGAAATGTTTCTACACAAAAATGTTGGCTAAAATAAATGTACAATAACAAAATGCATAGAAAATCCGTATATTCTTGTAAGTGTATATATGGATTTGTATATTTTTGCATACTTGTGTATACTTGTGTAGAAAGGCCTATACATACACATGTTTTTATCTGGGTGTGTGTGTGTTTTATGAATGTTCCCTATCTCTAGTTACCTGCTTATTCTTATTCAATGTTTTGTTGGGCAAGTTTATTTTTTTACAGTAAAGAATGTGTAATAGCGGATTTGAGGAATTACATTTGTGGATATTTGATCTTTTGTTCTTTTTGTTTGTCTTTTCTTTCTTTCTTTCTACACTTGTTTGTGTATGAGGTGTTGGGAAAGTGAGAAATAAGTCAAATGCATATTATTGACAAGGCACTGGATTATTTTCATGATATTATCTGTGTATTATTAAAATGAAAACAACATTTTTAAATCTCACAGTAAGCATCATCACCACCAGTAAATCATGAATCACTTTCCCCAACTTTGCTCAGGGGCCTCAACTCCTTGATGCTTATTGCTCTGACTTTGTGTCACTTACCACTGAGCGAGCTGCAGACATATAAGCCAATCGGCCCCATGTAGGTCTCATATGGGTTGCTGACACTGTTGTACAGGGAGATAAGGATGCTGACGGTGGAACACAGCAGACACAGGGCCAACAGGCACAACACCAAAGCGTGAAGGACCACAGAGGGAACTTCTCCTGTTTCCACCAACTTAGGAATCACTAAAACACACAAAATCACAATGTACAAAGTCATGAATTTGGGCTAATGTAATTAAGTACACCTTGAATGCACTGCACTATATGACAAACTGGTAAATCTGACTAGCAGTAATGTTCAGTATTTCGAAACCCTATTACCTTGGTTGGTTATTGGCTAATGGTCACACAAGCCAAAATATCGTTATGACATCATAAAGTGGCCAAAATGTGATCAGCTCATTTTCAGACAGGTTTTTATATAAATGGATCAGGACAAAAAGAGAGCGAATCTTTTTTCCTGAAACTTTCAGAATCTCTTTACATAGAGGGGACACATGTTTATGTATAAAAGACATGAAAATGTGGACTTTGCATAATAGGTGACCTTTGAGAATACTTTCGACAGAAAAAAGTGGGGCACTGCTTCAAGAAAGACATGCTGCTGTGGAACTCTTTCGATGTATTGTTAGTGTTGTTATTGTAGGCAAACATCTCAGAGACAGTTAAAACAAAGGAAAATCAAATCAAAAGTATAGGAATGGCTTGATTCGAGAGATGTTTAAGGGATAGAATATATACCTTCAAATTGCTCTGTTTTTCCGAACGAGGGGCAAAATTCTCTGTTCAAATTCCCCACAAAAAGCTTCCAAGTGATCAGAGCACTCCCATTGGTGAAGCTTTCTCCACTTCTTGTGCACTCCATGGTGGTCTCAGCCCACTGTGTTGACATGCAGTACCCCAACACCCCAACAGAGATGGAGGTAGCCAGCGCACTGGACATGAAAAGCAGAGTCTTCGTACTGGAAGGCATTATCGCTGTATTCCAGTTGGACTAGTTCAATCTAAATCCCGGCGTCTCGTCTCTAAAACTCGGATGAAGCCTGAGAAGCAGATTAGGACCCTCTGATCCTCTAAAGACTCTGGGTATGAGCTACCTTCCTGGGTGGATTGGACTGCTGGTCATAAAATCTCTTGATTATGGCAGTGACCTTTGGTTAGCAAAGAAAACACAGAGCTGGTTGTCATGGAAGGGACAGCAGTTTCCTCCCTGCGTCATCTCTGGTCATATGTGTTATCTGAATGGTCTGCGATGATTGAGAAATATTTTCAAATTATTTTCTGAATTGTACTAACAGTTGATACAAAATAAAAATATACCAAAGCTGCTTCAGTTCTTGCCTGAAATACATTCAAGACATTTTCTTAAAGACACCCACACTTTGAGGGAACCAGGTTCACAATCTTGGGTTCAAAGTCCTTTTTTCAAATTATAGGGTCATAAAACATAATGCAGATTAATTATTTACCTGACTCCCTAAAAAGAGTTACTGGAAGTCGAATGGTCATATGATCTCATGTGAGTGATATAATGACGTAATAAAGCCATGATAAGGGGTTGTTATTATTTGATTATTTTCAACAATTTCCCAATTTGGGATCAATAAAGTACTATCTATCTATCTAGAAGGTTCACGATTAGAAATGTTAAAAGTGCAACATTGTTTATTATTATTTTCAGTTAAAATTGGCGACCTTGTTTGATTAATAAAGAGGAAAAACACAGAGAAAACTGACCTCTTGGTGTAAAATGACAGTGTTGGTGCCATTGACTTATGGCACAAAAATGAAGACAGGACAGGAAGAGTGCGCTCTTTTCCAGCAGGATTTCCACCACTTCCTGGTTCCTGTTAATGGTAGAAAATGTGTCTATGCTTTTATGAAATGTTTCTATAAATCCTCTTTCCTTAGATGTAACTACAATAAGAAAAGGTTCATAATTTCAGCAACATGTTTATAAAAATGTATTTCATACATGACTGTCATACATTACAAAATAACATTGAATGGACTATAATAATGTGTAACCATTTCATAATTTACAATTTTATTAAAGTCCTACAGATCACGTTTGATAAAGAATAATTGTAACTTTTTACATTTTTATTTAATAACTTACATTCTTTTTTCACAGTGTGGTACTTTTATTATGAAGAAGCAATGATACATTACATTACACACAAGAAACTCATTCAAATCATAGTTATCAGTGAGGTTGTTTTTGACAAATAACGTCCCGCATTGTATTCAAACAGGAATTAAATTAACAATTACAACAACTGTGGACAAACTGGACCACCGACAGTAAGGAAGCAGACATGTTGTAACACAGTGTGTGACCAGACGGTGGCTCCCTTTCCCTCTCCAGACCAGAGAGGACCGTGCTCGCTGACAGCCAGTTGTGTTTTGTAGGAGTAAACACAAACTCCTCCTTCCCGGTGACAGGCGGCAACACTGAAGCATCGCCTCGCCTTTTCCAGCCCGGTCTGCTCCGGGACTAACCGTCGGTGCCATCAAGGTGAGTGATCTCATTACTTCGTGTCATCGCTCTGTCTTTTGCATCTCATTTGTCGCGCAGAACACGTCAAATTCCAAGTCCTTTTTTTTTTCCAGTCACACAGAACGCCGTGTTACCTGTCCGTTACGCACAGCAGCGCGCGGCTGATTTTCACCCATTTCAGGTGCGTTTTTAGCTTTTACGTTGCCGTGTGAATACATTCCTCGTTAAACCGGCGATGTTTACCGTGTTTTTACATTCTGAGAGCTCTCTGTTTGACTACCTGCAGCAGCCACTTCAGTCAGTGTCAATGTGGGTAAATGGAGCAAGAGTTTGTGTCCTCCCCTCGTGTTTTTCCTCTCGTTTGTCTTTCATTACAATGAAGATTTTGAACGTTTGCTTCATATTTGGTGACTAGGTGCTTGTCTATGTGGGCTGCAGTTGAGCCGGTTTCAACATGTAGGGGAACATATTGGTACTTCAGATATGATGGATGGATCTGCTAAGACTTGTTACTGTAGGAGGTCTCCTCGAGGTGTTTGAGTTATGTGGTAAGATCACTACGATGTTGACTCTTGCTTTGGTTGCTTAATGTTGTGTTGGCTTCACAGGTTTTGATTAAGTCGTGGTTTGGACATGATATCCATCTCCAGAGGGAGGGCAGGTCTGTCCCCGGGGGGGGGTCAGAGGTCAGGGTCAGCAACACATCAGCATCCTTGGAGCAGATTGTCTCCAACAGGCAGGGAGCTGGGTAAAGGGAAGAGGAGGTGAACCATGTCAGACATTTGTCTAATCAGACCATGGAAATGAAAAGTTAAATGAACCCAGACATCATCAACATTGTGCTCCACTGACCAGCAACAAGAGAACTTAAGGACTCTGACAGCCTGTATTCCTGAAGAGGCTTTAATGTAGACATCATTATGAAACTGAAAACATCAGAGAGATACTGCTAGATTCTTCTTCTTCTGCTAGTAAATCTTTTTAGACCATCTGACAGGGACATGTGTTGCATGCTGAGCAAGGCTGCCTTCAGGATCAACAGAGGTGAAAACAGACACATTTTAACATAGAAAGTTGAACTACTGTCACAGCAATAAGAAATGACCCTTACTTATTTTGAATACACAATTCTAACAAGTCAAAAACAAGGGTTTCTTTATAAGGACCTTCACTGAAATGTGTAACAGGTTGCTGTCGCTTCTAGTTCTGCTCCCTTTCCACTAAAAAAGGCAGCATTTTCAAATAAGTTTCACTTTTCTTCATTCTAACTTAAATAATTAGAACTAGAGCTCCTAAGTTTGATCAAATATTTGTCAACTATTAACTCATTGTATGATCTAAATAAGTTTGAGTAATTCTTTAGGACCAGAAAGAATTGTCTGATTCAAGCATCTTAAATATGAATATGTTGTTGTTTCTTTACTTCTCCATTAAAGTCAATTAAATATCTCAAAATCGTGAAAAAACTGCATTTAGAATATGCCAAAAACACTTCCACACTCATTCTGACATTTTATAGAACACAATCAACAGATGAATCAACATTGAAAATAATATTCATTTGGAGCCATACAATCCACTTTTTATTACACTTTTGAATAACTAGTTAAAAAATTCCATATTTATTATAACACACCTGGCTGCATTACACTATTTAGTGTATGCAGAAGTATCCTCATTAATCTTGATTTAACTATGTTATCTCTTCTGTCCTACATATAACAGCGGTGATTTTTCAGTGTAAATTCCATATACACAGTACAGGTCGTTGGAAGAAGGACAATTACTCTGGCAGAAGCTAATAAGGATTCATTGAAATAAACAAATAGTAATCGCTCTTCGAGACAAATGAGACTGTGGTGGGACACAGGAAGAAATAACATTTAACTGCTGAGTGCTGTGTGCAGATTGATTCGGCTTCTATTTCGTTTCAATTTATATTTGCCTCCAGTTAAATGTCTTACTCTTGTCAGGCCTCTGGAGAAGAATATCAACTGTGCAGTATATCTTGCGCGATGATTTCACTGTGATAAAGAAGGTTGTTTTTACACATTCTACATCTCAAAATGGTGCAAAAACTCAACAGGTTTCTAATTGCAGTAGCTACTCCAACCTGCGTTTAATTGTTTTTTTATCACACTGCCAAGATGTTATTTTTTTTCGTTTTGTCTGCTATAGTTAGACCTGCAAAAAGGCATATTGGTATGCTTGTCAAGTGCCTGTTATTGGAGCGTGGGTGTGCCACTGTGTGAAACGAACAGATGTGGTGATTAATGAAATCCACAGCGAGGTGGAGAGTCATGAATTGTGCATACCTGGAGTTTAACAGCTTTCTGGGTATAAACTTTTAAATTGCCAGCCTGGAGTAAATCCCTGAAGCTCGCCCACCCTCTATCTCTGTATCTGCCACCTCTCTCTGAGTCTAGGAAACACTCAGAGCCTGACTTTTTAAACTGTGAGACGACACGCTGTGCTGCGCGCTCTCTGAGGCTGCAACCACATCAACTACACTCTGCTTGGAGGTACACTTTTTTCTCAAATAGGCGGAGAAGGAACTAATTGGTATAAAGTCCCGACAATTAGTGATGTGCCTGGTTTGACCCAGAACATGTCAGATCCTTGCTGGCAGAAATAGTTTTAGCCAGCCTTGGAGAGGGGCTCATGAATAAAACATTAGGACTTTCATAGTGATCTTACTTATACAAACAGCATCCGACCTGTTCTTTTTCCTTAGTGGGAGCTTGTTTAAAACAAATTACGCTGCAGTGTTGCAACCGTATGCTTGTTTGTGCTTGCGGCTAGTGCTACAGAATGCAAACCCTGCAGTCATCCTTTGGATTTTGGCATCACGCTTAAATGATTAATTAACGATAACACCTATTACTGTTCAAGCAGAGTGAAGACATGTTAACCCCTCATCTAACCAGTCAAATGGATTTAAAAGAAAGCAATGAGTAATAGGAGGGGTTGTGTTCAGCCAGTAATTGATGTGACATTGTAGTCAAACAGAAACTGAACGAAGACTGGAAACTTTGCCAGAATAGCAGCAGTGAGCAGGGAAAGCAGAAACGGAGCCTGTGAGCGGTGTATTGCTTCCTGTTTGGGAGAAAGGATCCGGAAACCCCCGCAGCCTCAGAGAGAGGTGGGACCTCAGTGACACTGAGAAGGTGTGTCTCTGTCAGACCTATCCAGCACATGGCTGTCGCAAGGACAGTCTATCTGCAGCCCACACACACACCCCCTCACCATCTGATCTGTGTTGCTCCAAGGGCCACGACTGCTGTGGCTGCTGCTGGGGAACTGAGATACTGCCATGATGGTGGCTCCTGATTTGATATTTGTGCAAACTCAAGCTGTGCAGATTTGTATTTGTTGACTATATCTGTGTTTAAAGCTTAGCTCGGCCAGCTCTGAAACAGCTGGACAGAGATCAAGGTTTCCCCCTTTAAAGATACGTCAGAACTCACCCACCTTCTGCTCAAAGGAGCCATTGTAAGTTGCTGCTCAGAGATATTGAGGCTGAACACATGAGGCACAACAGAAAGACGGTCCTTAAGGGAAAAGTGAACACTAAATGAATCTGTCAT